ACGTAAGAACGAAGTGCACTCTTCGGTATTGAATATTTTAATCTGTGGTCATACTATTATACAAAAACAAAATAATAGGTACGATTAATTACTATAAAAAATCCGTYATCCATAATTTAAATTATAAATCAACTGGATGTCAAGCATTTAATTATAATTGTGACATAACAGTGAACTAAAATAAGATATTAAAAAAATACTACAGTGATACGACGCATGCATGAGAAGAAAAACTAATTAAAAACTACTACTCGAAAGCTGACCACCACCAACTACCTGGTTGATAGTAACGACGGTCATTGGGCAATACGGCGAATGGTATTTCTTGATTGCCAGTGTTTATTTCAGGTAGATGTGATGCCAGGTCGTATGTGAACGCCCGTTTATCATCGTCTATCTGATCGAGGGGGATCGGATACGGGTCCTGGAGATTATTCCGCATCCTATAGTTTTGATCCTTGATAATTTGTGCCAACTGATTGATTATAAGCTCTTTTGCATCTACACACACACACACACACATATATATATATATATATACACACACATAAAAACATTAACCCAATGTTTATTTAAATAACAACTTTGGCGTTATGACTGCCAAATATAGGTACAAAGTATACACTTAAACACATTATACAATATATATAATTATTATTTATTATATGTATACATTAATCCATCATACACATGGTTTCTAATTATSTATGGAAAATATTTTCATAAAGGTTAATAGTTTTCAAAATAATGGTTGTCATACTTAAAAAAAAATAACACTGTATAAATATATATTATCATTGTTATCACACTTTTCACGTGCTAAACCGGATGTACATATATACAGACAACTGATAAAAAAATACTTGYCACCGTTTGTYCATATCACCTCAAGCTGGTCGCTTTATATAAGTCATATAATGACCGAAACAATGTTGTTCAAAATACAAACTCAATTATAATATGACAATAACCTTCGTTTTTKATTTTATTATTTTGTATATGTACGTATACCTAATAATTAGTGCTTGCCAATATTTTTCTCAATTTTGCAATATTTAGCTTGCATTATTGATCTTGTCTGTGTACACAGCTGCAGCCCAAAAGACCCGAAACTACTCATCGTACATAATTTTTCATATCCATGTGAACCAAATGGTTCTATAGGTGTAAATACAATATTCGATAATAATATTGTATTTTTATAATTTATATTCACAGTATTTAAACATTTAAATAGTCAGCGTTTTATTCAAGTAAAGATAACAAATTTTATATTAATTTAGTGAAATAAATAGTRTCTTTATATACTAATACTTAAAAAATAATCACGTAAAAATTATTTTATTATAGACAAAATAATAGAACGCATTAATTATCATAGTAAAATAATTTCTATATAACTAAAAAAGTTTTAAACTTAAAAAATTATCATTAATTCAATTTATAGATTTCACAAGCGAAAATTCAATAGTATTTTTTCAAAAACTATTTATATAAGATTTACACTGGAATCGATAGGTTTTAAATGATGCAAMATTTCTTTATCAATTTGATTTCACCATTTTCATAACCACATAAGCTTACTGCTTACATTAATTTAATAAATAAATTGTATGTACCATGAATAAAGAATTTTAATAATATTCTAAAATTTAAGATTCATGAATGATGTATATTTTTGCGTAACCAGTGTGATAATTCTATTTATATCTAAATTTTAAAGTCGTAAATGTTATTTATATCACATTAYTTAATGAGTACCTATAGAGAATTTGTGATGAAAGGTGACTGAACAATATAAACCATTCAATTATTCATAATGAAATACAAATATTAATTAAATAAACATAAATACATTACATAAAAAAAATTCTTTATAATTT